AGAAAATTTGCAGGAGTTGGAGGAAGAGGTAATTTATGCCTAGCATTAGGGTGCTTTATAATATCTGCATAGAAATCCTAGTGAGTTAACATTTATACCATATGACAGATGAGGAAATTAAAACTTAGAAAGGCTATGTAATAGCTCCAAATCATAGGACTCTTATGTGGTAATACAGTGATTCTAACTCATGTCTTACTCCCAAGTTAGTGTTCTGTTATTATACCAATCTACCTTTTCAGATAAACAGTTGACACTTGAACAACATGGCTTTGAATTGTGAGGGTCCACTTATACGTGGGTTGTTTTGATAAAGACACACAACAGCACTATATAATCTGTGGCTGGTTGAATCCACTGACATGGAACCACAGATACTGAGGGCAGACTGTAAAGTTATACTCACATTTTTGACTGCGAGGGGAGTGGCCTTCCTAAGCCCAACGTTGGTCAACTGTACATTGTATCCCATCACTACTAAAAGGAAAGGTGACCTTTGAAATTATTTTTGGTGAAGGTAGACAAGTGAAGAATTTTTAACCCATGCAAATAAGAAGGAGTAAGTCATCACTGGTGGGTCTGTAACTGTTTGCTTTGGTTCTTTTTGAGAACATCCACCTCTCAAAATACAAGTGTGACTTGTGTAATTAACATTATTAGTCTTTGTCCATGAAATGTCTAGAAGAGAAACCAGAGCAGTCCTTAAGTGAGGGCTTACAAGAGGCTGCAGTTTTCCCTGATTTTGGTTTTTTTATATGGAATTCTGACAATTTATTGAGTCCTACGAAGTATCCCAAGGGAAACTACCTTCTACCACACAGACGGTCTCACATTTTCCACTTACTCTCTTCTATAGTTACTAATATTCTACTCAGTTAATTTGTTTATTTAGCTTTATCCTGTTTTTAATTATGTACATTAGTTTCTAAAAATGTCCACTTCCCCGTTATCAACTGTACATAATGTATGTTCTTAATAATGGTGCAACAATAAAATAAAAGCAACAACAGACAAGTTGGAACATATTAAATTTAAAAAGTTTCTGCATGGCAAAAGAAACAATCAACTGAGTGAAAAAAAAATTACTTATGGAACAAGAGAAGCTATGTTCAATCCATATATCTGATAAGCATTTAATTTTCAAAAAAAAGGAACTCCAGTAACTCATTAGTAAAAAATAACCCAACTTAAAAATGGGCAAAGGACTTGAATAGACTTTTCTCCAAAAAAGACAAACCAATGGCCAGTGAATCCATGAGAAGGTGTTCTATGTCATTAATCACAAGGGATGTAAATCAAACCATCATGAGATGGTATCTTCATACCTGTTGGAAGGGCTGTTAGCAAAGTAAAAGATAAAAGTGTTGGCAAGGATATGGAGAAACTGGAACCTTTGCAAGTTGTTTGTGGGCAGGTAAAATGGTGTAGTCACATTGGAAAACATTTTGGAGGTTAAAAATAGAATTATCATATGATCCAGCAATTCCTCTTGTGGGTATACAACCAGAAGAATTGAAATTAAGATCAAAGAGATGTCTTTCACTCGCATGTTCATTGCATCATTATTTACAACAGCCAAGATATAGAAACAACCCAAATATCTATCGATAAATCAGTGGATCAAGAAAATGTGTATACATACACTGTAATATTATTCAGCCTTAAAGGTACTTATATGAGGTATCTAAAAGAGTCAAAATCATGAATACAGAAAATACAGTGATGGTGGTCAGGGGAAGGAGAGAAGGGAGGAAATGGAGAGTTGCTCACTGGTTGCAAAGTTGTAGTTACATAACATGAACACATGCTGGAGCTTTGCTCTGCAACTTAGTTCCTAAGGTTAACAGTGTTGTGCACTTAAAATATTTCAAGAGGGTAGACCTTATGTTAAGTATCCCTACCAAAATTCATTCATTAATTTAAAAAAACAAAACCAAAATTGTTTAGTTTCCGTTCTTTATCCTTGAAAATGTCACATAATTTAAATGCATAAGAAATTCCTAGAAATATTTCACTTTCAGACTTAGAAAAAAAAAGCCTCTAAGTCTTTCACTTGTGTCTTGCTTCTTATAAGATGGCATGGGAAGTTCTATAAATATATATGTATTAAGGCCTGTACTGCTATGTCTTATAAAAATGATACTTCTGACTTTGACAACATATTGCTAAGACAATCTCAAAAATTATTTAAAATGCTTTATTTTGACATGTAAGAGTTTAAAGGGATAAGTAAAATAAAGTGAAAACCTGATTTCATAAAATGTTTGTAATTAAAATACACATTCATAGCACTCAATTTTATTATTTCTTCCAGTAAAATATTCCTGAAATGTAAATGCTGGTAGATAGTAATTTATTGACTCAAGAAATTATGGCTAGCTATTTCAATTTTGTGATAAGAGAAATATATAGAAAAATACATGACCAGCATTAAAAGAAAATGAAAACACAGAGCTGAAGTTAAAAACCTGTCTCATAAGCATCATCATAAAGGACAAAGAAAACTAGTTTTCAATTACTTGTCGCCTAACAGGAAGTGGACTGCAGATTGGTATTTAGGATAACTGCATAAAAGGAGTGAAGAAATTATGGTAGACCTTATCCAGGTCATTAAATCCAGTGTTCTTTTCTCTTTTTTTCCTTGAAGAATTTTATTTTTAAATTTTTGCTCATCATGATGATTGTCCTAGTCAGACCAAGTATGGACAGTGATGTACTGGGAATCGGGGCCTGGATAAGGTCCTCCTTCCTCACGGGATCTACTCATATGTGAACTTACTGCTTGAAAGAGGAGTAGGAAGATTCCTGGGACAATACTCTAATGTTGTCCAAAAACTGGGCTCAGAGCAATGGGCATGTCTAAGCAAAGGGCCCTCAAAACCTCAGGGGCCCCTGTAAAAACTTAGACTAATAGGAGATACAAATGGGTGTAACAGATCAGACATGGGAGAAGAGTCATTCCAAGTGCACATAGACCCAATCCCCACACAATCCGCTGTGGCACATGCGGGCCATGGGAGGAAAGGGTCTGAGTGTTTGCCTGTAGAGAGCTTACCTAAGAAGTGCTACAATAATGACAACCTACAGAATGGAAAAAAAAAAACATTTGCAAATGGTGCGACTGACAAAAGTTTAATTTCCAGAATATATAAATAGCTCATATAACTTAATAAGAAAAAAAAACAACCCAATCCAAAAATGGGCAGAAGACCTAAACAAGCAATTCTCCAAGGAAGGCATACAAATGATCAATAGGCACATGAAAAAATGCTCAGTGTCACTAATTATCAGAGAAACACAAATCAAAACTACAATGATATATCACCCCACATCAGTCAGAACGGCCATCATTCAAAAGTCCGCAAATGATAAATGCTGGAGAGGGTGTGGGGAAAAGGGAATCCTCCTACATTATTGGTGGCACTACAGTTTGGTGCAGCAGTTACAGAAAACAGCATGGCGACTCCTCAAAAAACTAAAAATAGACTTACCGTATGATCCAGCAATCCCACTCCTGGGCATATATCCAGAGGGAACTCTAATTCAAAAAGATACATGCACCCCAATGTTCATATACACTATATACAATAGTCAAGACATGGAAACAACCTAAATGTCCATTGACAGAGGACTGGATAAAGAAGTTGTGGTATATTTATACAATGAAATACTACTTAGCCATAAAAAAGAATAAAATGTCATTTGCAGCTACATGGATGGACCTGGAGATCATCATTCTAAGTGAAGTAAGCCAGAAAGAGAAAGAAAATCACTCATTAAAAAAAAAAAGAAAGAAAGAAAGGACCCTATAAACTCATCTACAAAATGGAAACAGACTTACAGACATAGTAAATAATCTTATGGTTACTGGGGAAAGGGGGTGGGAAGGGATAAATTTGGAAGTTTGAGATTTGTAAATATTAGCCACTATATATAAAAATAGACTTTAAAAAAGACAGATTTCTTCTGTATAGCACAGGGAACTATATTCAATATCTTGTAATAACCTTTAATGAAAAGAATATGAGAATTAATACATGTATACATATGCATGACTGGGACATTGTGCTGTACACTAGAATTTGACACATTGTAACTGACTGTACTTCAATAAACAATAAAATTAAAATAACCCAAATAATCATTCAAAAAAAAGAAATGCTACAACAGTTCTATGAGTTCTAAATAATTTGGCTGTAACCTAAAATCCATCGTTAGCCTCCCCACTCCATCCATATCCCCTTCACCAAGTAATAATTTTTAAAAAGGACAGTGCATTTTTCTTAAAACTTCATGATACAATTAGAAGACGTACAGTGATGACAAAGGATGTCTAGCAGTAAAGTGAGAACAGCCCATGGGGTGATGTTGGTGCCAGGGCAGCGGGTGTCACATGCTGGAAATAACCCCAGTTCTTCTCTGCCTGCTGCCAGTAAGGGCTGCTGTTCAGTCATTGGGCAACTGACCACCACGCAATGGCAAGAAAAAGAATGACATTAATATATTAAACCTATAAGATGTCCCTTGGCTGTATTTTGGAACCTTGAATCCCAAATCATTTGGGAGAGGGATTTTGCAAAGGATTTAACTTCATGTATGAGCAAATAGGAAGACAAGACCCTAAATATCTTAAGTACACTTGCCGAAGAAATAAAATCGTTTTAGTGTTGTCCTGAAAATTCCACAATCTTGTTTTTCAATCCTTCAATCTATTTTTAATATTTCAAGAATTCTATCCTTTGTACCTATGAAAACCACTTTTTGTTTGCTTGTTTTTTTTAAATACATTGCTCATTTCACAGCATTTTCTGATGCCTTTGTTTATGATGAAAGTTTAGTTTTATATGTGTGTATATGCATGACTGGGACATTGTGTTGTACAACAGAAATTGACACATTGTAATTGACTGTACTTCAATTAAAAAAGAAAGTTTAGCTGTAAAGTTGAGTATAGAGTGTGTGTGTGTGTGTGTGTGTGTGTTTGTGTGTTCAGTACTTACAGGTCTTTCTAGCAGAATCTTCCACGAAAAGAGAAGAGATGTCTTCATCCACGCCTGCTTCATTTCTTGCGATGCAAGTGTAGGCTCCTGTATCTTCATAGCGCACGTTGCTAATATGCACCTCACTGCCATTTGCTGAAAAAAGAAGGCAAATGCAACTTGTCAACTACAATTTCAGCTTTGGTAGAGTGATTTCCGATTACACAGCCAAACAGTTCTCTTAGCTTGTCCTAATTAAACTGTTTTCCTTCCTCCTTCCATGCTTTGGAGACATGCCAAATTATTCCAAGTGCATTCAAGTGTTTCATAAACTACGCTGCCATTCTATTACAGAGACCCCAATACTCTATCAAAGGCACACACACCATATTTTATATTCATTTCCTATTTCCTGCATTGCATAAAAAGTGTCACGTATGGATAACCATCATTTCATTTATGTATTTATTTTTAATATTCAGAATCCATTTTGTCCTCAGCGATTGTGACAGTTTTAATTCATACCAATATGGTTCATTTGCAGGAGAATACATGTGAAAAGACATGCCATAAAGGAATTAAGTGAGCTCATCATACAAGTATAATATTTGAAAAATGCCATTTTTCAAGTGTGTTATTGAATCTGCTTTATATAACTGCAATTATTGGGCATGGAAGGCAGAAAGAAAATAATGCATGATTTGTTTGCAAGATTTTCAGTCTTTTGCCTGAAATACCTAAAGTAAACAATATTTTATATGGAAATTGATGTGGTCCATGCTTAACAAAAGGGTTAAGCGAATGATTAATCCAACTTCTAAATCTTGGTTAAATATTATTTTAAGCTAATCCCTGAATAATGAATTGTATTCTCCAAGCTGGAAACCAGGGTATAATTAACCATTTCCTGTATGTTGGCAATATATGAAGTGCTTTCACATAGATTATTCCTTAATGTCCCAGATAAGAACTAATGATCAGAATCTGAGACTCAGAGAATGATCTTACGCACATTGCTTACCTCAGAGGTAAGGGCTGGACTTCGGTTCTACCAAACCCTAAGGGTCAGGGTTTTTCCTGCTCATTTGTGTAGGTTTTCATCTTTTCTTTTACTTGCTTTTCTTTCTTTGTGTGTGTGTGTGTGTGTGTTCTGTGATACCCAATCACAAGAACACCGTACGCCATGTGCAGTAGCAAGGGACATGACACATTGTGATGGATAAGGGACACATGATTGTTTGGGGAAAGAAGATAAAAAACGAATAGGAAATGAGTTTAAATGTCATTCCTAGGAGCCACTGGCTCTCAAGGGGTGTGTGTGAGATTTGGAGAGGTGGGAGCATTTGGAGCTGTATGATCACTTAAATCACTTGAAACTCTTTCTCAGTTTACTGCACATCTTCATTCCCCTCATCCTTTGTTGAGATTCACTATTCCAAAACAGTTGGCAGTGTTGTTGTTGTTGTTGTTGTTGTTTTGTCTGAAATAGGTCAGATGGTAAATATCTTAGACTTTGTGGGGTATACAGTCTCTGTGGTAACTAGTCATCTTTGTCCTAATATAGCGTGAACGCAGCCACAGACAAGACTGTAAAAATTGAATGTGGCTGTGTTCTAAAGAAACAAAACAAACAAAAAAGCTAACAAACAAACAAAAAACAAGCAAAAATTGCTTTATTTACAAAAATAGGCAACTTTCCCGGTTGGTCTGTGGTTATTCATTTGCAGACCCTCAGCTCTAAAAGATGGGGACTGAACAGTGTTTTAAGCCCAGATCAGCTTCTTTTATGTGAAGGGTGGTCCTCTCCAAAGAACATATTTTTCTTATAAGACCCACACACTTAACAATGGAAATTTCTGGAATTTTTGGAACATCCAATTTAGTCCTACTTCAGATTCTCTCATCTCAATATCCTTATGCTCTTCAAGTGTATATGCCCCACTTTCTTCCCCTCTTTCCCTGTGTAATCAAGCATTTCTAGATGTTTTCTACTCCATTGCCAGAATTATCAATTTCCTGGTCCATTTATCATCCTAACATGTCTGCCCTTTAGAACTAGAACAAGATGACATATCTCTGCATCTGGTGTCCCTGTCTCTAATTTTTTGATTAAATTACTAGACTATTCATAAGCAAATTTACAAATGTTCAAATTCCCAAGTTTCAATTTGCAGGATGTCACTTGCTATTTATTTCACTTGACCTTTATGTTATATTTCATACCCCACTCCACTTGTATTTCAAATCTTTATTCTTTGTTTGATGCTTCCCAGGATAATACTAACTTCCCACTCTAAGCAGGAGGTCTTGCTCTTTAAATCATGAAGTGAATAGAAGGGATTAGAAAGTAAATCCAAATCATTTCACGATATATAAGTGTATCAAATCGTCAAGTTGTATATGTTAAACTTATGCAAGTTTATATGCCATTTGTAGTTCAACAAAATCTGGGGGAAAAAAAAAGAAAAAAACTTCATCCCCAAACTTCCTGTTTCTATCTACATCTTCACTTGTATTTCCTTCTCAAAGGAAATTTTCTGTTTCTTCCCAAGGTAAATCTGCCCTCTTTTCTTGTTGATCTCTACAGCAATTTTTTCATCCTTCCCCCAGTCCATTATCCACATTTCTTCCTCTTTCCCAATATCCTTTCAAACCAATACATTGTTCAAGAAGAAAGAAAGATCTTCCTTAATCCCAAGCCTTCCCATCAGCAGCTACTATCTTCTTTTCACTCCTTTGAAAACATGGAAAGAGATTTTTATAATTCTTACCTCCTTTTTCATCTCTAAGCCAACAGAAGACTGATTTTCTAAATGCTATGAGGATGAACTAACCACTAACCCATAAAGATACTGCAATGACCTTCCTTGACCTTCCCACACACCCAGCGTGGTTGAGCCCTTTCCCATCTTTGGCTTTCTTTCCTTGCCTTCTGTAACACCGCCTTGTTCTCCTGCCTCTTTGCAAATTATTAGTCCCTTCCTCATTTATCATGATTTCCCTGCCAATACAATATCTCTGCTTTTTCAGAATTTTACTGCTTCTCCTAAACATATCATCCCATCTATGCCATAGCTAGACGTGGACCTCATGTGGAAATGCCAAATAAGCATCTGATGAATAAGTGGATAATTAAATAACTGGAAATTGGTAATATGTAACCATATATAAAGTCACATGGAATTGCACACTCTTGTGCACCCAGATTTATTTCTCAGGCTGTGCTCCCTGCTCATCTTTTATTATTTGTCACAGTTTCTCAAAATTTAACCTATTTTTTTCTTACTTTTAAAAATGAGAATAGCTATCTTACGAAGTCTTCCACTCTTTTAATGTTGAGTCTAGGGTATAACCAACTTCCCAAACTGGTCTTCCTGTATATTCCTGGGAACAAAGATATAATATGTTCATATAATAAGGTCTGCTGCTATTAAATGGCCAAGAGATGACAAAAACTGAAAGCTAAATAGCCTTTCCTTCAATTTAATTTCTGATAATCAGATCAATCCTCTTCTCAGAGTACAGACCCCAAGATGTAATCAGTAGATGTAAACATGTAAATTTGTTGGACCTACCTACATTAACACAGAGATTGCTAGGATTCAGGTTTTAAAAGTCAAAAATACTTCCTCATGTCATTTTTGATTTGCAAAAATAAATTTAATTTTTTAATTACATAAAAATGTATACTGATAAAGTGTATCAACTAAGTTGAATAAAAAGGGCAGTCTATTTTTACAGAAATAATTTTAAAATGAAAATATATTCATTTCTAACAGTATGAATTGAAGGAATTTAAAGGCCTGGAATAAGGAATATAATGCCAAGCAACACATACTCCAGTAAAATGACTGGCTTTTTACTACCCTTGGCAATGGAAATATCCAAGCATTTGTTTACTTACCAGTGTAATTAACATATATGCAAATACTTTTGCATTATTTAGACTATTTGACATTACAAAGATTGGTTGCTTTTTCACATACCACACATCTGTGATTCTTATCATCTGAATAATAACTGAATAATTATATCTACACTTTTGAATGTTGGAACATACATAGCATATTTTATATATTAGAGTGTAAGGACTTCATAACTTTAAAACAACATAAATGTGAAACATGTTTGGTAATGTTTTGATTTTTCTCTCTCTTCATTTGCAAGGTATGCTGCAAAAGAGTCACTAAAGAATTTCTATATTATTGACACTTTCTGTAATACATATTTTAATGTATGATTTAACATTTAAATGGTCTCTTCAGGAACATATTCAATGAAGAGATCCAATTATTCTGTTCAGCATATCTGCTGTAATTCAGAGGACACATTTTTTAAAAAAAAATTTAATATTTTACTCATCACAAAAATAATGACATAACTAATCATTATGACAAGACTATTATTTAAAACACTAAAAATCTTAAAGGACTCTATTTCAAATATGATGTCTTAGGTACAACCATGTTTTTTTCATATTCATGACATTCTTTTGCCACCAAGACTTATTTTCTCATTTCTCCAAAGAACGTAAAATGTGTTATAAATTTTAGAATGAAATGTCTACATTGTCATTTAAAAGGAAAAAATGCAAGTGAAAAGCACCTTGAAGCGTGAGCTGCTTGGACAGCTTGGGTGTAATATCAATGCCATTCTTCAGCCAGCCAAGCTGAGGATTTGGTATGCCCTCGGCGTGGCATCTAAGGCTGGCAGTCACCCCAGGTTCTCTGGCCTGACTCTCTGGATACACCCGGATTACTGGAGGAACTACAAGAAGAAGTGGAAAAGAAAGTAAATTAGTGATACCTCGATGCTGTCTGATTTTCTGAAACAAGCAAAGAAAAATTGCAGTATGTGGACATAACAATGATATATTTTGACGATGTTATATATTTCCACAGATCTTCATTTCCAGATAATGTTATCCACTAAAATGTACCAGCATTCCCTGGATAAAAGCTATTCTGAGATGGCTCCAGGGAAGATATAAGCTGAGCCTGGGATTTCTTGATTCAGCAACTAAAGAAGCTCTTAAGGAATGATAGAAACATATAAAAAAATACAAAACCGGTTTAAAGGGGTTCTCATTTACCAAACAGGGAATAATGTGAGCATTAAGATAATTACCAGTTCTAAAGGAGGGAATTACATAAGGTTGTATGAGTTCAGTCGTATAAATAAATATATATAAATATATATTCATATGTCTAAATACGGGAGAGAACAAAAAGCTTTTCCTTACTATAGTATCTTAAAAAATTAAGATAACAATTCCATTTACAGTACATCCAAAAATTAAAATACTTAGGAGTTATTTCCACCAAGAAGGTGCAAGGCTTTTATGCTGGACACTAAACAACCTGTTGAAATAATTTAAAGAAAACCTAAATACTTGGAAAGACACCATGTGTTCATGGATTTAAATAATTAATTGATGAGATACAAGGAATTCGTAAGACGGAAGTACTCCAAAATTGATCTATAGACACAATGTAATCACTATCAAAATTCCTAACTGTGTTTTCTTTTTGCAGAAATGGAAGAGCTTATCTTCAGATTCACACAGAATCATGGGGCCCCAAAGAGCCACAACAGTTCTGAGAAGAAGAGTGAAACTGGAGTTCTCCTATCTTCTGCTTTCCAATTATATTACAAAGCTGTAGTAATCAAAATAACGTGGTACTGGCATAAAGATAAAACTTATGAATCTATGGACTTAGAATAAGGAGCACAGAGATAAACCCATACATCTATAGTCAATTGATTTTTGACAAGGATACCAAGAAATAGTCTTTTTAAGAACTGATGCTGGCACAACTGGTTATCCACATGCAAAACAATGAGTCTGGACACAAACCTCACACCCTAATGAAATTAACTCAGAATGAATCAAAGACCTACATGTAGGTGCTAGAAAAGTAAAACAGTCAGAAGAAAGCATAGGGGTAAATCTTTGTGACTTTGTATTTGACCAGAGTTTCTTAGATATGACGCCAAAACACAAGCAACAAAAGAAAAATAGGCAAATTGGACTTCATTAAAATTAAAGATTTTGGAGCATCACAGGACACTATCAAGAAAGTGCAAATACAACTGACAGAAAAGGGAAAAATGACAAGCGATATCTGATGAGATGAGTATCCAGAGCACATAATGAGGAGTTACAACTCAGCAACCAAAATGCAAATAACCTCTTCTGCACAGCAAAGGAAACCATCAACTAAATGGAAAGGCAACTTACAGAATGGGAGAAAACATTTACAAATGAGTATCTAAAAAGGAGTTAATATCTGAAATATATATATATATACACACACACACACACACATTAAAAAAATCATACATGGGGGAAGATATAGCTTAAGTGGTAGAGCACATACTTAGCATTCACAAGGTCTGGGTTCAATTCCCAGTAACTCCTCTAAAAATAAACAAACCTAATTACTTCCCACTGCCCTCTTCCACAAAATAACCTTATAACTTAATAGGAAAAAAAAAACTCAGTTAAAAAATGGGCAAAGGGTCTAAATAGACATTTTTTCCAAAGAAGACATACAATGGCTAACAGATGTATGGCATGATGCTCAATATCACTGATCACCAGGGAAATGCAAATCAAAACCACAATGAGATATCATTTTACATCTGTTAGGATGTCTATTATCAAAAAGATAGGATAGAACAAACGTTGGTGAGGACGTGGAGAAAAGGAACCCCTTGTATACTCTTGGTGGAAATGTGAATTGGTGCAGCCACTGTGGAAAACAATATGGAGGTTCCTCAAGAAATTAAAAATAGATCTAGTTCCCAGTCAATACATTCCCCCTTTTTGCCTGACTGATACAGATTCCTTCTGAGCTTTAGCCTCACCAGGAAAAATTAGATTTGATTTATGTCTCCTCTGTGACATGTATCAGTTACTCTAATGATAGAAAATAATATCATCAGCAGCAGTACCTTAAGAGTGAAAATTATATTACATTCATAGACACTGTAGAATGTGCTGAAGGCTTCATAGTCATGGTCATTTAAAGATGAGTCACAAGAGAGGTTAATGGCATCCACAGGTCACACAACTTGTTACAGTGAAGAGCTGAGATTAAAATCCAGGGAGCTCTGACTTCTGGGCCAGTGCAGTCTACATTTTATGCTGGCCCTAACCAACCTGGCTGATCACGGTTTGTAACAGTCCCTGAATTGAGCCAATAAGAAAGAAAATCTAATGGGTATTAAAAACAAGTATGTTCCAAATTTGACTGGTCAGGGCTTTCTATAGCAAAATATTTTTTAAATTTTTATTTTATATTAATATTATGTATACAAATACCTGATGATCCAGCAACCCTACTTCAGGTGATATTCAGGTGGAAGCCCCATAAAAAAGACTGGTAGGACCCCTTGCCAGCACCATCAGGTACCCTGGCCCAGCAGCTTTATCTCATTTTTTGCCTCTGAAATGGCTTACCCCTAGAATTCTATTGGTTCCCTGAGCTAACTCCTGATTGGCCCATTTGTAGTGCTTCATTAGCACAGAGCTCACTCCTGATTGGCCCATTTCCCTCACTCCTGATTGGTCCATTTCTCTCACTCTTGATTGGTCCATTTCTACAAAGCTCATTCTTAATTAGTCATCTTTGCTGTACATTTTTTGCATATGATGTTATAAAATGTTGCAAATAGACTGGTAGTCTATTAAAGACTGTGTAAACCTACAGACGGGGTCCAGAGCTTGGAGTGTTAACTCCTCTAGGCCCGCTGGCATAATAAACCTGAGTTCTCCAATTCTCCGAGTGCTGCTTGGTCTCTCACCCGGATCCAAGTTGCTGTCACAAATGAGCTGTAACACCGAAACCGAGCTGTAACATTGAGCTACAACACTGAGCTGTCACACGCTTTTCTGCAACAATATAATCAAAGGAAATACAACTATTATCTTAAAGAGACAGCTGTATGTAAGGACATCTCTCTCCTCTTCAGAGCAACATTATTCACAATAGCCGAAGTATGGAAACAACCTAAGTGGCTATTAACGGATGAATGGGTAAAGAAAATGTGATATTACTCAGTCTTAAAAAAAGAAGGAAACCCTGTCATTTGCAACAACACAGATAAACCTGGAGTGCATTATGCTAAGTGAAATAAGCCAGACAAAGAAAAACAAATACTGCATGGTATCACTTACATGTGGAATTAAAAAAAGAAAAGTTTAACTTCTAGAAGCAGAGAGTAGAAAAGTGGTTGCCAGGGGCCAGGGGGAATGGAGGAAATTGGGAGAAGTTGGTTAAAAAGGTACAAACTGTCAGTTATAAGATGAGTAAGGTCTGAGGATCTAATGTATAACATGGTGACTACAGTAGATAACACTGTAGTGATAATTGAAACTTGCTGAGAGAATAGAATTTAGTTCCGCACACACACAAAAGTCATACTATTCAATTCAAATGTGGGCTATTGATTTGAATAGACATAGACGCGTCTCCAAAAATAGGCAAAGAGCCTTATAATAAGCTCATCAAAAGATGTCAAAGTTCACTAGACATCACAGAAAGGCAAATTAAAATCACAGTGTGATACTACTTATACACACTACAGTGGTTATGAAACAACAAAATAAATACAGAAAATAATATGTATAGAAATTGGAACTCTGGCACATTGCTGCTGCTGGCAATGTAAAATGATGCAGCCACCGTGGAAGACATCAGTGGTTCCTCAGACTGTTACGTGTAGAATCTCCACGTGACCAGCAATGTCAAGCCTACGTTTATACAAATGATGAGTGAAACAGGTTTTCCATAACAAACATGTATGTGAATATTCATAATAACCACCAAGTGGAAATGATATAAACAACTACCAACTGGTGAACAGAAAAATAAAATGTGTAACCATACAATAAAATATTTTGGTAATAAGAAGGAAAGAAGTACTGATATATGCTATAACATTCTGCTGCGATATCACGCTAAGTGAAAACAGCATGACCCAGAAGACTACACGCTGTGTGAGCCTGTTTTCTATGAAATGTCCAGAATGCGTAAATGAATCAGGATAGAAAGTATGTTCATGGTTGCAGGGGGCAGAGGGGAGGGAGAAGTGGGAAATGACTGCTTAATGGATATGAGCCTTATTGGGGGGATAATGAAAACGTTTTAGAATTAGCGGGATGGTTGCCCAACATTTTAAATGTACTGTAAGCCACACTTTAGAACGGTTTGAGGTTATGTGTATTTTACTTTGATAGAGAAAGAAAAGAAAGATAAAGAAAGGCTGAAGAAAGTTTGTGGACTGAAAGATACTAAAAAGAAATATTAAAGAAATGCAAAGTGGAATCCAGAATGGATGCCGGGCCAGGAAAAATGAGCTACAAAGTTATTATTGGAAAGATTGTCAACAAATCAATATGGATTGTAAATTAGATCATGAAATTCTATAAATTTCATGATTTGATAACTGCATTTTGACTGGGTAAAAAACTTAATCAGAAAATTCTGAATTAATTAGTGGTAAAAATAAAAATTATATCAAACTTATTCATATATATACATATATGTGTGTATATATATATATATATATATAATCACAGACATTAGCAATGAGATGGCTTAAACACAATGCTACACATAAAAAAGTGAGAATCAATAGACTAAACATGATATCTGGACCACTTGAGAACTTTCTGCTTCCAATAATATTGGATATGTGATTCTTATCAATTCTGATCAATCATCTTTCTGAATAGAACGTAAAATCCTGGTCACCTGTAT